TTATATATATATATATATACATATATATATATATATATATATATATATATATATATATATATATGTTTAATTTGAGTTTAATATTCGGGCGTAACATTAATAAAAATAATATGAGTTTTTTTTAAAAAATTTATTTATTTAAAATCCATACGTTTCGGCTAGCATCTTAGCCATCATTCAGTGGTAATCAAGTTAACTATAAAAATTGAAACTAAATAAATTATATGAGAGGAAATTTCATGGAAAAACAATAATAATAATAATAGTAATAAAACACTTACAATTTTGTATCCTAATATAGCATATGAAACCATTATTAATCCATGGTATGAGTATGTGCACATTGATAAGATATATATTTTTTAACACAAACATCACAAATGGTAAAACACACTAATAATCATGATAACTTGACAAGTTGTCGAAACTATGTATTTACTCTTCGGAGTTTAGGATAGAAATGTCACATCTTTCTCAAAGCAGTTTTAAGCATGTGTTGATATTTTTTGGAAAATTTAAAAGGCGATGGGATTTTGTTATTTTTTAAGGAATTTTGACACGCTATTAAGAAACCACGTGTTCGCTTCGTTCAGGGCCGTATTGTCAAAGCGTTTGTTTATCACTTTGTCGTTATGTAATTATAAAAACAACCCCTCAGCGAATCTTCTTTTAATTGTATTCTCTTCAAAATGTAAAATTTTAGGATTAAAAAAATCGATATTATGATTTAAATTTTTAATATGCTCAGTTAACATTGTTTTAAATTGCTTGGGATTTTTTGAATTATTTTTGTGTTGATTAAGGCGTTTACTCAGGTTTTGGCTAGTTTCTCCAATGTAAAAGAGTTCGCAATTAGAGCAATTAATTTGATATACCAAATTCCTGAGGCGGTCAAAATTGAACTTAGATTTCATTTGTGTAAAAATTGAACTAAAAGTTGCATCACAATTACATACCAACAGAATGCCACACTACTGAAATAGTTTTTTCCACGAGAAATATAAATCTTTTACGTACGGTAGGCACATGACACCAGTATATGATTCTAAGTCTAAGCGGTTTTTATGGTCTGTGAGGTCTTTTTGTTTGTTAAAAATGTAACTGCGTCTGTTATTTATGACCGAGTTGATTATGTTCGTAGGATATGAGTTGTTTTTCACTGTGTTTATAACCAGGTCAATGTTCGTGTCCCAGAAGTTTTTGTCAGATAGTAATATGGCGTGGTCTGTTAAATTTCTTATTGTCGCTATTTTCATTTTAAGAGGGTGGTATGAGTGGTAATTTATTAAAAAGCGATTTTAACTAACAAATATATACTAAAATAAACATTTTTGACTTAAATAAATAGCTTAAACTTCAAAAAAAATTATTAGTATTAAAATCACCATTTCATTTAATTTTAAATCATTTTTAACGAATTTTGAAATCTTTGTTGTATATATTAGCTCAGAAGATCCTTCTTGACTAAAAAGAGGTTTTAAATAATAATTTTGTACTAGAGTATATACATTCATTTATTCGAATATTTAGTCAAAACTTCAAAAAACTTTTTGCACAAAAAATCACCTTTCTATACTATTTTTATCTAATTTTTATCTAATTTTCATCTTATTTTTATCAATTTTTTCCTCCCCAGGTATACAGATTTGGCCTGGTTAGAAGAAACGTCCTCGATTTCTGCAAATCCTTTAAGTACTGATGCAACCTGGAAATACGTCCAGGACAATTGGCAAAAAATGATCGACAGGTTCGGATTGGGGGAAAGTAATTTGGGCAGACTTATTCCATCTGTTACCGACAGATTTACTACTGAGGATAGGCTGAAAGAGGTAAAAAGAGGATATGAAAGATGATACAAAATTATCATTTATTCAAAATTTTTATATCGGAGTGTATAAAAGTGTGACCTAGAAAATGTCGTAAATTTTATCTAGTTTCACCCTGTGTGATTGAAAAGGGGTGGTTTTATATGAAGTATTTGAGTTATTTGACAAAAACCAAAAAAATGTCCCGAATTAAAATTTAATTTTTCAGATGAATGACTTCTTTGCCAAATTTCCGGAGGCCGGAGCAGGAGCTGCTGCGCGGAAACTGTTTCCAATAATATAAAATGGTTAAAAGTTAACAAAGACAGTGTTGCAAAATGGTTGAACGAGAGGAAATGATTTAATATATATATATATATATATATATATATATATATATATAAATGATCTTTAGTGTTGATAGTCGAACGCAATTGTAAAACTAAACAGAAAGTTTTTTTAATAAATAAATAAAGTATGTGCATATTTTTGTTATTAATTTAATTTCAAGGTATTCCTCTGTCTGTAAAAAAATAATAGGAGCAATAATAATATGCGTTTAATTTTTGTATTTTGTATAAATAAAAATTGATATATTTTGTATATCTTTTATATATTATATGGTTCAATTTAACACTGATTTGATTTTAAATAAGCGCAAATTAATAATTAAATGAATATATAAACAAGATTTAAAACAAAAAACAAGTCAAAATAGAAAATATTTTTCAGTCAAGACAGGTTTTATAGCTGCTCGAAGACTGAGATTATATCGTCAACAAAAAAGTAAAAAAAAATACCATCAGCCAATGAATGTATGTTAATTTTAATTACATGAAGTTCTTCAAACAGAATTATTACATGATGAGTGAAGTTGCAAAAACAATATTTGGCGTTGTTTAACATAATAATTATCTGCATTTTTATAGGTAATAAAAAATATTGAAGCAGTACACCTTTATTCTATCATGCCGAAGATATATCCTTTTCAGAATTATATCTCAGATATTTTTGGTAGTTTAGATGAAGTCTACATGTTTTTCGATCATGCTAAGTACTACAAAGTTGCATAATGAAGAATAAATTGATATTCAGATTTATTAATCTAAACAAGAGTTGAAGCACAAGAATAGTTTGTGTAGGTTTGTATCATTTCTATACATATATACTTTATAATGGACATCTATGCTATAAATAAACTATTTATTTGTTACAAGTTTACTGTGTGAATTTATTAATCAGCAATTACTTCATTTCTTTAATGAAGGTTCATTTTTAAATGCTAATTACAATGACAAACCGACAATGTCATATCAGAAGTATGACTTTAATTACATTATTGTTTGTAAATATTATACATATTTTTAATGCTATTATAAATATATAATTTATCATTATCATATAAATGTGTATAATGGTTGACACTAATAAATGTGTGCATCACGAGTGTTACCATATTACTGATGAACGTTATTTAAAATTGTTATATGATGTATTTATTTTTACTTAAATGCCATCTCATACAACAACAAAAAAGTTTTACTTCAATACTTATTATATTTGCAATGCGTTACAAATGTGAAATAAAGTTATAACAATTTGCATATATCATTTAGTCAAAATTCAAATTTGAAATTGGCGCCCTTTGTGGCGCTACTGTTCACCGATCGAAAACTCTGAAGTTGCACAAAATGGCGACCTGTCAGCACTTATTGAAGGCGCCTTAGTTCTTTATGGGATTCTAGTGAAAACAAATGGCAAAAAAAAGAAGTGAGTGCTATATAAATAATGTAGTTAGTTGTGCAAGAAATATTTTGTGATGCAAGAAAAATGGAGCACACTTAGAAGTCACGAGCGGCGGATCGGGTAGTAATTGAAAGGTGTGGTAATAGACATTTAGTATATAGACATTTGATAGTTTTGTTAAGAACGAATTTTATGGGTTCAAGGTATTCCTCTGTCTGTAAAAAAGTAATAGAAGCAATAATAATATGCGTTTAATTTTTGTATTTTGTATAAATAAAAATTGATATATTCTGTATATCTTTTATATATTATATGGTTCAATTTAACACTGATTTGTTTTTAAATAAGAGCAAATTAATAATTAAATGAATATATAAACAAGATTTAAAACAAAAAAACAAGTCAAAATAGAAAATATTTTTCAGTCAAGACAGGTTTTATAGCTGCTCGAAGACTGAGATTATATCGTCAACAAAAAAGTAAAAAAAATACCATCAGCCAATGAATGTATGTTAATTTTAATTACATGAAGTTCTTCAAACAGAATTATTACATGATGAGTGAAGTTGCAAAAACAATATTTGGCGTTGTTTAACATAATAATTATCTGCATTTTTATAGATAATAAAAAATATTGAAGCAGTACACCTTTATTCTATCATGCCGAAGATATATCCTTTTCAGAATTATATCTCAGATATTTTTGGTAGTATAGATGAAGTCTACATGTTTTTCGATCTTGCTAAGTATTACAAAGTTGCATAATAAAGAATAAATTGATATTCAGATTTATTAATCTAAACAAGAGTTGAAGCACAAGAATAGTTTGTGTAGGTTTGTATCATTTCTATACATATATACTTTATAATGGACATCTATGCTATAAATAAACTATTTATTTGTTACAAGTTTTCTTTGTGAATTTATTAATCAGCAAATACTTCATTTCTTTAATGAAGGTTTATTTTTAAATGCTAATTACAATGACAAACCGACAATGTCATATCCGAAGTATGACTTTAATTACATTATTGTTTGTAAATATTATACATATTTTTAATGCTATTATAAATATATAATTTATCATTATCATATAAATGTGTATAATGGTTGACACTAATAAATATGTGCATCACGAGTGTTACCATATTACTGATGAACGTTATTCAAAACTGTTATATGATGTATTTTTACTTAAATGCCATCTCATACAACAACAAAAAAGTTTTACTTCAATACTTATTATATTTGCAATGCGTTACAAATGTGAAATGTAGTTATAACAATTTGCATATATCATTTAGTCAAAATTCAAATTTGAAATTGGCGCCCTTTGTGGCGCTACTGTTCACCGATCGAAAAGTCTGAAGTTGCACAAAATGGCGACCTGTCAGCACTTATTGAAGGCGCCTTAGTTCTTTGTGGGATTCTAGTGAAAACAAATGGCAAAAAAAGAAGTGAGTGCTATATAAATAATGTAGTTAGTTGTGCAAGAAATATTTTGTGATGCAAGAAAAATGGAGCACCCTTAGAAGTCACGAGCGGCGGATCGGATAGTAATTGAAAGGTATGGTAATAGACATTTAGTATATAGACATTTGATAGTTTTGTTAAGTACGAGTTTTATGGGTTCGTGCTGATTCTTGCTTGTGATTTAGTAGTCAGTTTTGATGCATCGAATTCCAATACAGATTTTTTTATACTTAAAAGTTATATATACACTTATAGGTAATATTTTTACAACATAACCTGTAAGTTACAAGCAAAGATGTTGAAAATCGAAATAAAACTAGTGGGGCGCACGGCATCGTTCCTTTGGGCAACTTGCTGGAACTTCCCGTACAAAAAATTATTTTTAAAAACATTAACATTTTTGACACGCACACATACATCCATTTTTTGTAATGTATGTCAAAATGTCCAGAAACCTCACCTCACGATTACTATAACTTACCCTAAGGGGAGTAAAAAAATGTAGTAAAAGAATTAGAATTAAATAAGTGAGCAAATAGTAATTATAAATAACTTGCAGAATTATGTTCTGGATCATAGATCACTCAGCCATTTTCTCTTTAGTTTTTCGACTGACTGGGATTGACATATGTATCCAATTTGTCTCGAACAATCAACCTTCTGCTTTTAATGACTTCTATTGGGAATTTTTAGGTCCTCGTGAATTATATATAAACCCATCAAGTGCTGCATATCATTCTCAGTATATTGCTTTGGGCTTTCTGAATTATACAAATATGTTATATACCAGGGGTCGGCAAGCTTTTAACTGTAGTGTGCCAAGACACTCTACCAATATGATTTAGAGTGCCACCTTAATTTTGAAATATATAGTTAGGTTCTAGGGGAGAAGAATTATAACCAAATTTATCTTTTAAACATTTTTATTAACAAATAACATGAATTTCTAATATAAACAGTGCTGGATTACCCCATAGGCCCATTAGGCCCGGGCCTGGGGCGGCATAATTTAGGGGGCGGCAAGTTTTTCAAAATGTAAATATTTTAAACTCGATGAAATGACACAACAATTCATTTTAAGGATACATCCTGAATTTTTTTTTTGTAAATTTAGAGATCATTTTCGATAAAATAGAACGTAATGCGTTTTCTAATCAAATTTATTATTCGTGGGTGCCGCATTGATATTTTCTTGATGTATCATATTTAATATAATAATTATCAAACTGATAAGATTTTTTGAAGAAATATTGAAAAACTGTTTGTTTTTTGTAATTTTGTTCAGGTGAATCTTATAAGACACTTTTTACTTGTATGACGAAATAAAAACTATCGAAAATTTTGCGAGAGCATGGTCAGCGTTTTTGGTGACCCAAAAAGGTGTCATTTGGTGATAAAAAATGATCATTGACATCAAATTATTAGATTTTTTATAAAAAAATTATTATTTATTACAAATTTTGTCTTCATTATTTTGAATCATTCCGTATCAAGATTTTTAATTTCTAAAGTTTACTTCTTAGATAGTTTAATTGTCCTTTGCAAGGATCAATCACCATGAATGATTCAAAAAATATTCACTTGGCTTTGACTGAGAGGCGTACTGTTTATGCCAAAGGCAGGTTTAGCATTTTTGGAGATACAGAGCGCAGAAGGTGCAAAAGTGGTCATGAAGGTTTTGAGAGTACAGATCATCCGATTGGAATGACTCAAAAAATATTTTGTTCGTGGTATTTTAGTGATATGAAGAAATGATTAGTTTTCCGAAACGGCAAGTCCACTGGTTTCAAAGTTTTGAGAAAATTAAAATATCTAAAATTTTCAAATAATCGAATTACTTTAGAATTTAGAAAAAACTCGAAATTTTTGAATATCTCGGTTCTATTTATCGAGTTTAGTCCAATGTCTTTTTAATTTGTGAAATCAGTTCAGGCGTTTTTGAAAATTAAATTTTGATTTATCACATCACAAAAGCGCCTTTTAACACAAATTTTGATTATGAAGTTTTATCAAACTTTGATGAATTTTTAAAATAGTCAAATATTTTGACTCCTAATTTGACTCTTTTTTCAATTTTAAAAATCGGTTTCTGGCTTTATTCCAAAAACGTAATATTTTTGCTTTTTTATGCTAATTTCAAACAACCGGCTCGTCCGATCGTCCCGCAAACCTAATCTGTCCGGCAGGTTTTTGCCAAAAATTAATGAATACGATTTCCAACCAAGATTTTTCGAATGGTTTTTGAATTTTTAAAATCGACCTAAAATTGTGGGCTAAAACTTTGACGAATTTTTTCTCTCTTTTACTAATTACAAAAAAAAAGATTGGTCAACCGTTAAACCTGCTTCCCAAAAATTTAGGTAATTATTCATTCCTTCAGTACAAGTAAATTTTTTTTGAATTATTCGGAAACCAGCCTCTCGGTTCTTTCAAAAACTGAATTGCAATTTTTGCACTTTTGTTCTGTATTTTCCAAACGGCTAAACCCGTCTTAGCCAAAAACTAATCAGAACTTTCTTATCTATGAGAATGAAACATACATACATACACACACATCCGTTTTTTTAAGGTATGCCAAAATGTTCAGAAATGTTCAGAAATGTCTGAAACGCAAAAATATGCAAAAAAATTTATTTTCGATCTTTTGCGATTGCTATAATTTACGAGTACTTTAAGGAAAGTTAAAAGTTGTATTTAAGTAATCTTATATATAAAAATGGATCGCAAAATGTGTTGGTAAGCGCATAACTCAACAACGCCTGGACCAATTTGGACAATTCTTCTTTTAAAATGTTCGTTCATGTCCAAGGATGGTTCTTACGGCGAGAAAAAATCGAATAATTGCCGGGAAAAACCTTAAAAACAGCCCTTTTCTTTTTTAATCGAGTAGGCAACGAAATTTGTAGAAAAAACAATGATCTACGTCATGACATTTTGTGTAGTTTTTGATAATCTAATTTTTAATATATTTATATAAACATAGAAATATCTTTCTATTAATTAACCAGCTATATTGGCAGCCAAAACATTGATGTAAATAAATTAAATTTCAAAATTCAAGAACAAATTACAGGCGAATCAGTTGATTCGGCAACTAACCAAGACGATTCACCGGAGTTTTTAAACTCGCTGGATTTTGATAGGATTGTCACCTCACAATCTTCAATTAAAGGTTGGATCGGCAATTATAATGTTGCAAAATATTGACCAACCGCGCCTTTGCAACGGCACAAGGTTAGCGATAAAAAAACTATCAAACAACGTGATGGAAGCAACTATATTGAAAGGATTATACTACATTTACATATTATACTATACTTAAAGCAGAAGATGTTCTCGCACCGTGCATCCCAATGATTTCGACTGATGTGCCATTTGAGATTAAACGACTACAGTTTCCAGTGCGTTTATGGTATCATTAAGTGTTTGTGATATTATTTTGGTAAACCCATGTTTCTTACATGGAAAATTGTATGTTGTCTGCTCCCGTATTGGAAAACCATCAGATTTGTTTGTCTATGCGCCAGGTAATCAAACAAACAACATCGTTTATCACAAAGCACTACAATAAAATTTGAACTGATTTTTGAATTATGATTTACATGATTAAAATTACTTACTTTTAAATGCTTATAGTGTTTTATTTAATTATTTTTAATTCACACCGAATTATTACCAGGGTAACCTTTCTGTTCAGGATAATTTTTTGCAAAGAATAGAAAAAAGGTAGGAACAGAACACCGCCACATTACAATTTTTTTTGACAGGACGAAGTCTGTCGGGTCGGCTAGTTTAGAATAAAATTATAGTTTAATTAAAAAAGTAAAAAATTAATAGGGCGGCAGAAAGCTTAATCCGCCACTGAATATAAACTAAACAACTTTAATGCGAACCTTGTACCTTTTCCTTAACATTTCAAGATCCGGGGTATAATTTGTAACTTTCAATTTCACACAAGATTCTGAATGTTTAGTTGTTAAACGATTTCTTTGTGAACTCAAAATATGTTTCATGTGAGAAAAAATTTGTTCACAGAGATATGTGGAATCAAAAGCTGAAAGGAGAGCGCATACAATTTTCTTTAAACAATTAAATCTTTTCCGGCAATGTCATTTAACAATATAATATGGCTGTTGATTTTTCCATAGAGTCATCTTTCAGTTTTTTTTTTGTAATTCCTTCCATTTTGTTTTCCATAATTCTGAAGATATTAGTTCGATAATTTCCATTTCAAAATTATCAACATTAATCCATTCGAAAGTCAACAAATCAAACGGTATTGTTGATGGATCTATTAAATCTGGTTTTATGAGGAAGGAAAATATAGGCACATAAGCTTCAAAGCGAGCTACGTTAGAAAATTAATTATAATTAAACATTTTCTCTTATTTAAAAATCACTCGATATTTCCGATTTTCCTCATTACTTTATAGAGTGCCATTCAAAACCCCATCGCGTGCCAAGCCTGGCACGCGTGCCGTAGGTTGCCGATGCCTGTTATATACCATGTGTCGATATTGGAATTGTCATCGAGAAGCTTATTTTGTAATCAAAGTTTGGATGATCTTCCTATGAGCCAGTTCAGGTACTTCAATTTTAAATCTATTTATTCCTTTTTCATTATTATGTACATTTTCCAATTTAGTTTACTATCTACATGCATTATTAGATTTTTTTATCAGGCCTTGTGTGGCTTCTTAATGAAACGATAAGATGTTGGGATTTGGTAATATCTGGTTCGATGTTCCATTTTTTAGCTGTAATTCTGTTTCTCTTAATGAGCAAAAGATGCTCGAAGTTTATTTATTTATTACCCTTTTTTTATTTATTATGCCCTTCCTTGCAGATTTTTTTGACAGCACGTGAGGCTCCAAATAAAAACCTCGATATGCAATTTGAAGAAATGTTCCCATGACAATCTTACTAATGTTGAAATGCAGTTAAAATGGAGATTTTATTTTATTTTAGTTTGATTTTTAGACCATTCACACTTTTATACATTTATATTTTCTAGCAATTTACAATATCTTCTGACAAAATACTATATTTTCTGACACTTTTAAACAGTTTCTATGTTTTCATTTTCTGACTATT